GACCGCGGGAATGGGGGGAGAGCGGGGGATGACGGCGCTGCTTCCCCACAGACCAGGAGCTGCGGAATGTCATCGACAAGCTGGCGCAGTTTGTGGCGCGGAACGGGCCCGAGTTCGAGAAGATGACGATGGAGAAGCAGAAGGAGAACCCCAAATTCTCCTTCCTCTTCGGGGGAGACTTCTACGGCTACTACAAGTACAAGCTGGCCCTGGAGCAGCAGCAGCGTGAGTGGGGCCTGCGGCTCGGGCAGGGCCGGCTCGGGGCTCCCTCCCTCGCCGGCCGCGGGGTCTCGGGGTCGGCCGGCGGAGACACTTTTGTCTCTTCTGGGCTCGTCCTGCTCCGCCGGGACCGGTTTGCAGCGCTCGGGGTTCCCGGTAGTTGGCTCAGCGCTGCCCACGGCTCCTCACGGCCCCGGTTGTGGGTTTGGAGGCGGGCAGGGGGAGCCGCAGGGACGGGCAGCGTGGTGAGACGGAGCTCGGCACCTGGAGAGCCGGAACTCACTCGGCTTGTCCTGGAGTTGTCCCTCTGGAAGTGCACAGGGAGTTGCCGACTCTCCTCTTTGGCACCGTCCACCTGTGATTTTGCGTTAACCGTAGAATCATAGAATGTGCTGAGTTGGAAGGGACCCATCAGGATCATCGAGTCCAACTCCTGGCCTTGCACAGGACACCCCAAGAATCCCACCAAGTGTCAGAGCATTGTCCGAGCGGCTCTGGAGACCCCTCTCACCCCCTCAGAGCCAGGGTCTCTTTGGAACTGGTGCCATTTTCACCCGTGGGCTGGTGGTAGCAGGTTTCTCTGGGAGGTTTACTTTCAAAGTTTACTCTGTCTGATAGTGTTGTGCAAGCAAAGCCAAGATATCGAGGCTTCCGCACAGATCCAGCCCCTGCCACAGCCCTCGCTGCCGCCGGCTGCGCCCATCCCAGCCCCTCAGGGCACCCCGTCTGTGGAGGAGCTCATCCAGCAGAGTCAGTGGAACCTGCAGCAGCAGGAGCAGCATCTCCTCGCCATGAGACAGGTTGGTTTGAGATGAGCGCTCATCTGGGGTGTCCTGGCCTGTCAGTGGGATTAGGAGTGAAGGGGGAAAGGTTGGTTTGGTGCTGAGCAGAGCTGGAGGTGAGGGGAAGGGATGTTGCTTTCCTTACTTTCGTTGTGTGGCAAATGCCATCGTTCCCCTAGAATGGATGTATGTGATGTGTAGGTTGGGTTATGATTGCATGTGGGTTATGTTATTGTGGGGTGCGTGATCGATGGTTAAAACCTTCTATTTGCTCTTTGAAAAATCTTGTTAGTTTTAGAGTGGAGTAAACTGTGACTGCTTGAACCTTGGTTTGATGCTGCAGATTGCTGGGAACTGCAAGATGTTCCAGTGTGTAGTATTCTGACTTAGATTGGAGGGGAACTGTGTGCTATCAGCTAGCTGATTTTTGCAGATGTTCAACTGTTTAAGCTGCTGAAAACCAAACTGAAGAGTTTCTTGTGCCTTGGTTATGTTCTTTACGTTTAAGAGCTTCTTGCAATTATTTTTTATTACATGATAGATTTTAGAAGTAGAAGTAAACTGGACTTCTCCAGAAAAATATGAAGAGTCTTTTCAGAACCAAAAATTGAAACATTTTCATGAAGTCACAGTGCTTGTAAAAGATTTTGGTTTTTGACATTGCCACTTAGGTCCAAGAGGAGAAGGATACAGCAGCTTCAGTCTTTAAAAGAATTTTGGCTATAATGTAATTATTTCTTTTTTTTTTTCCTCTTTTTTTATTTTTTTTTACAGGAACAAGTCACATCAGCAGTAGCCCTTGCAATCGAGCAACAAATGCAAAAAGTTTTGGAGGAAACCCAGTTAGATATGAACGAATTTGACAACTTGTTGCAGCCAATAATTGACACTTGCACAAAAGATGCCATCTCAGTAAGTGATCTGAATCTGCACAGGGATTTGGTGGCACTGTGGGTTCATTTGAATTTTGAGATTCTCTGTACATTACCAACAGCTTTATATCCATGTTGTGTGGCAGGTTAGATGGAAGCTGTTACCTGAAAACCTTCCTGCACTTATTTCAGAACTATAGGAAGCCTATATCGTGGGAACACATTAGACTGACTAAAAATATTTTAAATTTTGTTTTCCTAAGGCTGGCAAGAACTGGATGTTTAGTAATGCCAAGTCTCCTGCTCACTGTGAGTTGATGGCCGGGCACCTGCGGAACCGGATAACGGCGGACGGAGCTCACTTTGAGCTGCGCCTGCACCTCATCTACCTGATCAATGATGTTTTACATCACTGGTAAGGATTCAGTTCTGGGCTTCAGTTTGCTGTTTTGATGAAGTTTTTCTCCTAGATACAGTGTTGGTTTGACTAGTCACTTCATATTTTATTGTTTTTATCAGCTGTCCTTACATGTCCATTTTACTAGTACTTTAGTAATCAAATTTAGGTAAAACCATTTTAGCTACTTTGTGTATTTTTCCTCCAGACAAGATTTTACAATCAAGTCATTAGGGAGAGAACTCTCTATTTCATGATTCCACTACTTTTAGTATAGCAGAAGTTGAGATGTATTGAATATTTCAATGCACTTAGTGTTATAGTGAAAAAGAAAACTCTTCCCATTCCTTTCTTGAAGCCAGAGGAAGCAAGCACGAGATCTTCTGGCTGCTTTGCAGAAGGTGGTGGTGCCTATTTATTGTACCAGTTTTCTAGCAGTGGAGGAGGATAAGCAACAGAAAATTGCCAGGGTGAGTATCTGGTTTTGGTTTAACTTTGACTTTTGCTTTGTTAGGTTGGTGCTGTGTAAATTCACAAATAGGCAGGTGCAAGAAGGTGACTGAGATTTTTCTAGTCTGATTGTTTTCATAAAGTCTGTTATAGGAGGTGCTGTAGTACACATTTAAAATAGAACTTCAAAGTCCTTAGGCTGTATTTAAGAGTTATCGCATTGATGAATGCATCTGAATCTTTAATAATTCAAAAATAAATAGAAAAATCCTAGGCCTTATGAAAAGCTGAAGACACAAAAATGCTGTGGCTCAGTATTTCTTTGATTGTTCATAATTTCTAAAATCTTTTCACTCTTATTCATGCAGCTTCTTCAGCTATGGGAGAAAAATGGGTACTTTGATGAGTCCATTATTCAGCAGTTACAAAGCCCAGCTCTTGGACTTGGCCAGTACCAGGTTAGCCACAAAAATATCAGTTTTCTTATTTATACAAATATTTTGAAAATTATTTTCCTTTTCAAAGTATAATGTTAATTTTTGTCTCCCCTCCCCTCCCTTGAAGTTGCTTACAAGGGATTACAAAAAATAATGTAAAATATAACCTTGTTATTTCAAACATTCAATAATCCAGCTGCTGATATGGCCCTGGATACAGGATGCAGACTGATGCAGTCCTGTACATATTTGACAGTGTCTTGTATAGCAGGGAGTGTTTGGTTAAAAGGAAACAAGCAAACATGGCTTTAAATTGGATACACTGAATATAAAAATTGTAGTGGTAACAGGAACTTTTTATTATTGATAATTAATGGGGTTGATTTGAGCTGTATTGGAAAGGCAGTACTAAAGGTGGTGGGTTTCAGCCTGCAGAGAATATTTTGGAAATCTCCACAAAGCTTTGTAATGACACTGGGTGGTTCTGCCACCTTTATCCTGCATCCTCAGGCATTTTTTGGGAGAGAGGATGAAGGGCAATACAGGGAATTTGGAACAAGTGGATAAGGTAGGTGTTATAGGTTCAGTGCTCACTTGTTCTTAATTTCTTTTACCAGGCAAATTTGATCACTGAGTATGCAACGGTTGTCCAGCCTGTGCAGGTGGCTTTCCAACAGCAGATTCAGAACCTGAAAACTCAGCACGAGGAGTTTGTGAACAGTTTAACACAGCAGCAGCAGCAGCAGCAGATCCAAATCCCCCCCCTCGAGAACGAGGTGAAATCAACACCCCCACCTCAGGCCCCCACAGCAGCCCCAGCCTCAGCTCCTCCATCTGTTCCAGTCACACAAGCAGGTACTGAGCTCACCTGTGCAAAAATCACTGGGGACAATGTTATGAGGTTTTTTTTCCACTCCTTTTTTAATAATGAGCCACAAAGCACTGCTGGTTTGGTTCAGGCAAAAGCTTGAATCTGTTGAGAACCTTGCAGCAGATGCAGGCAGATGCTTGAGTATAAAAAGAAGCAAAGAGATGAGTGTTACATGGATCAGAAATCCTGTCTCCCAGTAATTAGATTTCTGCAGAAGGAATTAATCTGATGTTTTATTAACTGCAAGTGATTTTGATGCTGACAATAGTCTCTAAATTGTTCCAGATGATGGTAAATCTCAGCTGCCTCTGGCTGGTTCTACAGACTATGACACAAGTGGGTCTGGAGTGCAGGATCCTGCCTCAGGTGGACCACGTGGGCCTGGATCTCATGATCAGATTCCCCCAAATAAACCACCCTGGTTTGACCAACCTCACCCTGTTGCACCATGGGGTCAACAACAGGTAAGAAACAGTTCTAAAAACCCATGTGGAGGTTTAGAATGACTGTCTTGGTTGTGGAGGTTGGGAATGGCCACCTTGGTTGTGGAAGTGCAGTGAAAAGCTAGAAAGGTGGAAGCTGTGAAAGTTAGAAATCCAGATTTCAATGCCAAGCTTTGTCATTCTGAGTGCAGTTAAAGGCACAATGTTAATCCTATTTCAGTCTGTTAACCACCACAACTATGGTGGTATTCCTATGAACAAGAGCTGTTTGGTTCAGTAACAGTTTGGTCTTTTCCCATTGTTTTTCTGAAGTTGCAGTCATTCAGACTCGTATTTGAAATGTTCTTTCACCTGTGCATGGGCTGTGTTTCTTTAGGAAGGTGTATTATTGTGTTCTTCATTCTTGTAACCTCATGACTTCACCTGCAGGGGCCCCCTCACTGTCCTCCCTGGAATAACAACCACGAAGGAATGTGGAACGAGCAGAGAGATCAAGGCTGGAACAATCAGCGAGAAACACCGTGGAACAACCAGCCTGATCCTTCATGGAACAACCAGTTTGAAGCACCGTGGAACAACCAGCATGAGCAGCCTCCATGGGGTGGGGGTCAGAGGGAACCTCCATTTCGAATGCAGCGGCCACCTCACTTCAGAGGCCCATTTCCTCCACATCAGCAACATCCCCAATTCAACCAGCCCCCGCATCCGCATAATTTCAACCGCTTTCCACCTCGCTTCATGCAGGATGATTTTCCACCACGCCATCCCTTTGAAAGGCCTCCTTATCCTCATCGTTTTGATTACCCCCAGGGGGATTTTCCTCAAGGTAAAGTGTGTACCAGGCCAGGTTTTCTTGTGTTGTAATGCTGATTGCCATTACAAAATTATTTAGTGATTTGGGTGACAGTTTATTCTTGGTGGATTGTTGTGATTTTCCTTAGTTTGGGAGTTTGGGAAGCTACTGCTAAGAACTCAGTAGGAAACACATGCAGAGTTGGATGCTTCCTTGCTTTTTGAGTCTTCCCTAACAAATAAGAAATTGTAGTCCAAATTCAAGTCAGCATCTCTACAGGCACCTCTTTTGCAGCTACTTTGCTTTAAAAGTAGTTCAAAGGTGAGAAGCAGCGTTTTCTTGTAAATTTAACCACCTGCACATCAGCCCATAGGTGAGGGCTGATGAGAGCTGTGACCTGTGTAGATGGAGGAAGTTAAGAGGAAGGCTGAAAGGATTTGTTCCTGTGCATGCACTCATTTGTTCTTTCTTTTTATTTTGGCTGCCAGGCTCTCTAGTTTTCTGCATTTAATGTTGTGTGGCTTGGTAGTGTGTGGTGAAACGATCCTTACCTCCAGTTCTTCCTCCTCACTGGGCTTGTTGTGTTGCTGGAACATGGGAATGTGTGGGAGTGTAACCTGGTGCAGCTTGCCTGGCCAGAGGTTTCCATTTCACCTGCAGGAATTGCTGTTACTCTGGAATGATCCTTGTCAGTGTGAAGGCCAAAGATCACCCTGGTTCTGTGTGACAAGTCATTTAGAAAATAGGAGTTTCTGTGTAGGAGTTGCTGTGTTAATCCTAAAGGTTTCTCAATTTTCCGAGTCCAAAAATGGTTGAAAACCAATGGATTTGAGTCCTTTTGACCACAGTATGTCCCAAAGGAAGCAGTGGCTTGGGGCTGAACTATCTTTTTGTCTAGAGAGTGTGGCCAGGGAGGTAAATGCACTGCAGGGACCTGTAGCCAGCCTCTGCTCCTTCATTTCTGGTGCTTTGCTGGATCTGCTGAGATTGGGTTTTAGGCTAAATGCAGTAATTAAAGTACATCTCTGACTGCCTTCTTTCTTTAATAGCTAAATAAAACATTTTAACCCTCCCACTCTGCAGAAATTGGACCTCCTCATCATCATCCTGGTCACAGATTGCCTCATCCTGGTATCAGCGAGCATCCTCCCTGGGGAGGGCCACAGCACCCAGATTTTGGGCCTCCCCCACATGGATTTAACGGGCAGCCCCCTCACATGCGGCGCCAAGGGCCCCCTCACATGAACCACGATGATCCCAGCCTGGTGCCAAACGTTCCCTACTTCGATCTTCCTGCTGGCCTGATGGCTCCACTGGTCAAAGTAAGTGCTTGCTATGGGGCTGATTCAAACCAAAACATTGGTGGGATTAAAAGATCCAAAACCTTCAACATTGATGTGTATGATTTCAAATCCTTCCATCCCTCAAGCAAGTCTAGGGTATAAGAGCAAGAGTAGTTTGGGGGACTAAGTAGTGGAAATGTGAGAATTTTTGTGTGTTGTGTGCTAGAGGAAGCTGGTTGAACTCACAGTATGAAAGAGTAATTTATATTTGAAAGTCTGACCCCTCTTTGTAGGAAATGGAAATCCCCAGTGAGAGACCTCACAGATGTGATGGGGCCACTGTACTAGCTCTTCATAATCAGAATTCTCTTGAAGATGTTTGACAGTATCAATGTTATATATACAAAGAAGGATAGAGAACAGGAAACATACCTGTATCAGCAGGGATAGTTACATTTATGTATTCTGTATTTGGGATGAACACCAGTTTGTGCCAGGCTTCCATCCAGCAAAAGGTGGATGAGATCTGCATTTCATCTACCTGGTGACCCACTTAATACTTCAACCTGTGCAGTGCAGGCTTTTCTCAGAGAACTCACAACAGTGATAGCACGAGGAAGCATTGGTTTGTCTATAGAATCCTTATTTCCAGATCATTTTTTATCCAGTATTGAAATTTGAGATCTCTACACAGCTAAATCTGTATTTACCTCTTCAGGTAGCCACCCCATGACACAAATATAATTTGTTTTGTTTCTGGCAGCTTGAAGATCACGAGTATAAACCTTTAGATCCTAAAGATATTCGTCTTCCACCTCCAATGCCCCCCAGTGAGAGACTTCTGGCTGCAGTTGAGGCATTTTATAGTCCACCATCTCATGACAGGCCTAGAAACAGGTAAGAGTAGGTGTAGGCAATAAAATGGCAAGGAAAATGCTCCAAGAAGGTGCCTCAAATCACGAAGTGCCTCCCTCTCTTTTGCTGTGTCTTGGCTCTCCTAATGCTCTTGTATTGCAGCTGCACTTGCTGTTTGATCTTATACTGAGATTTGTGAGACAGTTTCTCCCAGACCCTTTTTTCTGTACAAAATCCTGTGAAAATCCTTAAGGTCTCCCCTGAAGTGGAATTTACATGTGTGGGTTGTGTGTGGTTGATTTGTTGCAGTGAAGGATGGGAGCAGAACGGACTGTACGAGTTCTTCAGAGCTAAAATGAGAGCAAGGCGGAGGAAAGGTCAAGAGAAGAGAAACAGGTGAGAGTTCCTGTGTGCCACCTTCTGCTCTGTGCTGTTCATCTGGAAGGTGCTTGGGCTAAATGCAGAGGGAAAGTCTGTTCAGCAACATGCTGATGGAAGAATGAGTTTCAATGTGCTGGGATTTCTGTCTAATCTGCAGAAAATGGACATGGCACAGGTTGTCCAGAGCAGCTGTGGGTGCCCCATCCCTGGAAATGCCCAAGGGCAGGTTAAACAGGGCTTGGAGCAACCTGGTTTGAGGATTGTGTTCCTGCCCAATGGCAGCGGTTGGAACTGGATGAGCTTTAAGGTCTCTTCCAACCCAAACTGCTTTGTGATTTTGTGAAATCACAAAATCACAAAGGGCTTGGAGCAACCTGGTCTTGAGGAGGGTGTCCCTACCCAATGGCAGGGGTTGGATGAGCTTTAAGGTCTCTTCCAACCCAAACTGTTTTGTGATTCTGTGAAAGAGTTTTTCACACTTAAGCTTTCACTTTCCCTGCAGAATTAGTGCTTGTGTGTAATTTGAATTTGATCAGGAGTAGATTTGTGTTTCTCCATGGAATCTCAGTGGGGTTTCTCTGCTCATTTGTGCAGTGGGCCCTCTCGGTCTCGCAGTCGCTCGAAAAGCCGAGGCCGTTCATCCTCTCGGTCTCACTCACGATCTTCAAAATCCTCCGGCTCCTACTCGAGGTCCCGCTCTCGCTCTTGCTCTCGGTCCCGATCCTACTCTCGCTCGCAGTCCAGGTAGGGCCCGGGGGGCTGAACCTTGGCCAGTGTGGGAGTGGGCAAACCCCAGGCCTGGAGGCTGAGCCGAGGATCCTCGGGGTCGTTGTGGTAACTTTGTGCTCTCCCTTTCAGGAGCCGCAGCAGGTCCCGCTCCTCGCACAGCCGCTCGCGCTCCCGCTCCCGCTCCCGCTCCAAGTCCTACTCGCCGGGGAGGCGGCGCCGGTCCCGCTCTCGCAGCCCCACCCCTCCGTAAGCTCTGCTCTGCTCCTGACTCCTCTCACCTGGGCTGTTGGAACTGAGCGCCTGCAGGGGCTCTGCCTCCTTACCAGCAGGAAAGATGATGGAGAGCAGATCTAGAAATAATTTATCTGCTATATGGGATTGTAGAGATATTGGAATATGAATCCCAATATAACCAGTTAGATGGTGCCTGGGCCAGTTCTGACCCTCGCTGCTGGGCCAAAGGCAGCACTGCGGTGTTTTACCCCAGAGATACCTTGGCAGCTGGAGAGTGCAGCGGGGCAAGTCCAGGCTGTCAGGACTCCGTTTCCTCAGGAGAGAGAGCTTCTGGCGATGGTGGAGAGAAAGGGAGTGGATTCTGCTAGAAGGTAGCCAGATGTTTATTCCATGGGTACAGAGATGTCTGCACTGGGCCACTGCTGCTAACAGAATGGAGGCCACATGGTCTCATTAACATTTTAAGCTCAGGGCAGGGGAAGGGGAGGGGACAGGTGAGCCACCAACCAGGTGAAGGGGCAGGGCCTCAAGGGACTAGGGACACCTATCACACGACGCCTTGCTGGTATGTTAGCCTGATTGACAGGGTATTGGAATATGAATCCCAATATAACCAGTTAGATTGTTCCTGGGTCAGCGTGACCCTCGCTGCTGGGCCAAAGGCAGCACTGTGGTGTTTTACCCCAGAGATACCTTGGCTGAGAGTGCAGCGGGGCACAGACGCAAGTCCAGGCTTGTCAGGACTCCGTTTAGCTCAGGAGAGAGAGCTTCTGGCGATGGTGAAGAGAAGGAAGGAGAGGATTCTGCTGGAGGGTTATATCCAGATGTTTATTCCACGGGTACAGAGGTCTGCACCAAGGCAATTCCTCCAACAGAATGGAGGCCGCATGGTCTCATTAACATTTTAAGCTCAGGGCAGGGGAGGGGACAGGTGAGCCACCAACCAGGTGAAGGGGCAGGGTCTCAAGGGACTGGGGACACCAATCACACGATGCCTTGCTGGTATGTCAGCCTGACTGACAGGGCACACTCAGCGAGGGGCGAGGGGGAAGGGAGAAGGTAAAACAGGATATTGCAACACACCACAACATAGAGAGAATATTACTCTGTTGTGGTGGCTTTTTATTTTAACAAAACTGCATGCAGAAGTGAAAACTGCAAAACTGTGAAGTCTGTGTATGCCTTCCTTGGGAGCAGGAGTAATTCTCTGTGTGCTCCATTGGGAAGAGCACAGTGTCTCTTCCAATCTAGAAATTCTGTGTGATCCTGTGTGTGATTCTCTTTGATTTCCCTTGTGCTGACAAGCAGGTGATGTGTTTCTGGCACCTCAATAACTGCATAATCTGATGGCTGTGGTAAAGAATAGCTTAGGAGAGTGGATAGAATTGTGTTGGATGTTAGTGCTTAACAGAATAGAACTGACCATGTTTTGTGTCAGAATTGTATCACTGGCTCTAAATTTGTTGTTCTTATTTTCTTAGTTCTTCTGCTGGTTTGGGCTCCAGTTCTGGGCCTTCTATACCAGAATCGAGACTTGGAGAAGAAAATAAAGGCCATCAAATGCTAGTGAAAATGGGTAAGATGCTGTTCTAGAATCTTAGACAAGCCAGGAAACAAAATTTGACACTGAAGTCCTAGATGGAATTAATTAATGCATGTTCATAAGGAATTATTCCTTGGCATCAAGGTCAGCATAAGAATATTCAGAGATGTAAAATACAGAAGACAGGGATGTGAGTTTGGCATCAGATAGAACTGACCCTGCCTGAAGTATTTCACCTCCCTGCAGTGCAGGACAGCAGCATTGACTGGACAGATTGGACTTGCAGTACTATTTTTCTTACCCTCCTAGCAGTTTTTAGGGATACAGCTGCTGTCAGCTCCTAGAAACTCTGCATATTAATGCTTGTGAAATAAATGGGACAGTTCATGTGTTGTTTCAGGTTGTCTCTTCCCATCCTGCTTTATCAAACTGATGCTGTCTTTGGTTGTTTCCAAAATGTGTTTGTCTTCATAATTATAGTCGTAAAAAAGCAGTGAAAGGATTGCAGTGTTGTGTCCTTGCTGCAGGATGGAGTGGATCTGGTGGATTGGGAGCCAAGGAGCAAGGAATCCAAGATCCAATTAAAGGAGGTGACATCCGAGACAAATGGGATCAGTACAAAGGAGTGGGAGTTGCATTGGACGACCCTTATGAAAACTACAGAAGAAATAAAAGTTACTCATTTATCGCACGCATGAAGGCCAGGGATGAATGTAAGTGAATGTTTCTCAGCAATTTCAAAACCTCTATGGACTTGAAAGTGATTTTTGTAAACCCAAATCAAAATAGCAGTAGCTCTTAATTTTTTCTAATGTAACTGATACAGTAAACCAGCAGGTAAGTGGATGTGTACTCTGATTAACCCAGCAAGTTTTTTTTTAGGCATTGTGTTGTGTTTTAATTTCTGAAATGTTCATTAATAAGTGTGTTCTGTGTAAGTCACTTCCTGGCACCTGCATCTTTGAATGTTCCCCCACAAAAACTTGAAATAGTCACAAAGTTGGTGGAGGGGGAGCTGTGCCCACAAGGGACAGCTGCCACAGCAGGGAGGTCCTTGTGCTTGGAACCAAGTTAGGCCACACTTACTGTTTACCCCTCCCTAGACAGAGTTTCCTACCATTAGGATCACATTCTGCCAAAGCCAGAATTTGTAATAAATTCCCTGTAGTGCAGGAAGGGTTCAGAAAAAGACAGTTACCCAAATGATGGATTTTTTGCAGAGAGTCTGTGATACATTGAACATTGGCACTTGCCAGCAGCTAAAAGGAAAACTGGCATGCTCAATGAAATGTCACTTCTGCCTCTAGATTGGTGGAATCCAATAGGTTCAAATAAAGCCCATAAGGAAAAATTCCTTATTAACAGAACCCTCATTCCACCAAACACTTCAGGCAGCTTAGGTAACTGCAGGATGTGTAAGAACTCTTCTCCCTGTTGTTTCAGTGAAGCAGGAAACACAAGACCCTTCACCATCCGAGTAAGACTCTCTGAAGAAACATGTCTTGCACCTTCTGCAAAACATTAAACTTTTAGAAATCCTGATTAAAGTCCGGACAAAGTGACAAATTAATTACTTTTAAAACCATGGTGAAAAATTGAAAGCTATGACATGTACTTCAATACTTGTCAGTTAGTGCTTAAAAAAGGCCAGGTCTTACTGTGACATGTCTAGCAAGTTTAAAAATTCCCATTTATCTTGCAAAACTTTCTAATTAGTTCCCCATTTTATAGCAGAATTAAACCCCACTCAAGCTGTTCCTGATGCAGGACTGTGCCTCATTCATTCCTGTGGAATACAGACATTATGTGATGTGGTTGTACCTTCTCTAGTTCCATAATGTATATTTATTTCTCTCAAAAGGTTAATTCTATTTGAAGTGGAGGGGTGCTGCCTTGGGATCAAGTCAGACTGATGCTGAGCAGTGTATCCTAATGTCTAAATGGGGAAATGAAGCATCTAGTTCCAGTGCAGGTGACCTCTGAGCACTGTGCAAGCTTTTAGAACCTTCCAGTCACCTCCAGGCCCTGCCCAGCAGCTGCTGCAGCCACCACTGGGGCAGGACACGAGGCTCAGGTCTCTGGTGGCTTCCCCAGCACTCTGAGGGATGGCTGATGCTTTGTAATGGAACACAGTCTTTGAGCTTTTTATATTTTTGTATATACCCTTTAATAAAAGCCAATTAGTTCAATAGAAGAGAATCCATTTTCTCTGCTCTACACGTTTCTATCAATGGGATGTTGTTGGAAAGTTGCTGTAATCTAAATGAAAAAAAAGAAACAAATCTTTTGTAACTGTTTCCAGAGACCACCAGCTAGAGCTGTTAGGCCCTTACACTGCACTTCACTCCCCAGGTCTGCCCCTTTTCCAGTTGTTTGTTTGTAGAGCAAAATCCCTCTTAAAACCATTCAGTTAGTATGGTGGAATATCAGTTTGTTCTAGATCTGCTGTAGTTGTGGAACTGTACCTGTCTGTGAATCAGCATACAACACCTGTATGTCACCAACTTGTGAATGTTGTTGTTTTGCTTTCCAATAAAGAATTTTTTTAAAATAAAAATGCAGCTGAAATTTCCTGAAGCTTGGCTATAAGCCTTCCTTGTTTTGAATTTATCTTAATAAACACACCCATGTGTGTGTTTGGGTTTGTTGTAATCTGACAAGGCTGATTATACAGAAATGCTGTTTGGATAATGGCACTGAAGTCAGGATATGGTAATTTTCTGCTGTGGTTGTGTTTCTCAGGGGCTGTAGAACAGAATTTCACTTCTACCACCATCATAGATGAGATCTCACAATTCACTGGGTAAATGTGAATGACTTATTATTACTTATCATTAATGACTTATCACTGTGATGACTTATCACAGTCCCATTAGGCAGAAGTGTTATCTTGATGTCTCTTTTGCTGACATAGTCTGGCTGAAGGTTCCTGTGTATTCTTGTATTGTGTACACAAGTAAAACATTCAGGTATAGAAAAGTAAATTATCTATAATAATTAGCAACTTGTACTAACTAATTTATACTAACCTAACAGTTTGTATGAATTCTTCCAATACAGTTTATAACCTTTTATCTGTGCAACTTGGAAAGGTTTCTTGTTTCAGCCTTGGAGTTGTGAATGTAAATGTCACTTGAAGTTCAATAACTGTCCAAGCATTTAATTTCTCCTGGGCTCTCTCCGAATTTCTTCAAGTGCTTGCTCAATTGTTAGAGGTGGGGATTTGTGATTCTTGATGTACTGCAAAAAAAAAAAAAAAGTTAATAAGCTAATGTCTTCATTATGTAGATGATTATTTATTAAATACTAAAAGCAGCTAATCTTCATGTCAAGATACCTGCATGTTTCTGTACTAGCAAAGAAAGTGATCCTTCTGTTGCAGCATCTGAATGATCCCTGCTCATTTGAGGACAGCTAAATGCTACAGCAGAAACTTTAATCTTTAAAAACTATGGTCTCTAGCAGGACTTTAGTATTTTTTTTTCCTTTTAAACTTATTAATTATTTGTATGCAGAGAAACTATGTTTGCAAGTGTTTGGAAAGGAATTCATGCTTGGTCTGTGGTTTGTCATAAATACCTCTTTAGCCTCCTCCAGGGTATGGTAGTGGAACTTCTCCTGCTCCAATGACTCCACAAGGGCTGTGTGAAGGTGGTGAACGTTCTGGACAAACTGCTGGGTCAGCATCAGGTGCTGCTTGCACATGGTGTGTAAGACAAGAACCGAGGGGCTGTACGCAGTCAGGGCTGGGAGAAAGGGACAGCAAGGGCTGAGCAAACCAAGCTGGGCTCAGGTGCAGAAAATAGAGTGAAAAAGAAGAATAAATGTGGGTTTGGTACCTTCTACTGCATCCATGCTGATGACATGGCTGGCAATGGGCACTGGGTCGATGTAGCTGGTTCCGATGGGTGGGCTGAGCACTGCAGTGGGGTTTGCTGTGCATGGGAGAGGTCACAATTACTGGGGGGACAGGGGAAGGGTTCAGTGCCACTGCCTGGTTCTTCTGCAGTTTCTTGGCACAGCAGCTGCCCTAAAAGCACAGCACAGCCCAACAGGCTGAACTCACCCTTAGCCCAGCAGCAGGTGAAGGGAGGCTCTGCTGTCTGCACTGCAGTTTCTGTGACGGTCACTCGGTGTCCCCGTTTTGGGGTGACCAGCGGGGATGACCCTGAGGATGGGTGTGCTCCAGGAGACCTGCAGCTCTCAGCATGTCCCTCTACAGATTCCCTGTCTGTTGCAGATGGAGACCTTTCAAAATCTTCAGAATATTCTGAACTAAGAGTATTTTCGTTCTGATTCAGATAATCCTGTTTGTGTGGAGGGAAATCTGAGGAAACTCCACTTAAATGTTCAGAGATTTCAGCTTCAGAGCCACATTTTTCAACTTCCTCTTCAGAAGATTTTTCCACACCAGTTATTGCACTGGTCATTTTTAGAGCAGCCTGGTCCTCTTCCACCAGCAATTTATCTTTTTTCACATATTTGTTTGATTCTTGAGTAAACTGAATGTCTTTTCCCTGTAAAAGTATTTATTTTAGAATCTCCACACTCCACCGAAGGCAGACTGGGAATATGTGCTAGTGGGGAATTTCTACTTACTTTCTGCTTTAATTCTGCTGAATTACTGGTAGTATCTGGTGCCAAATCATCAAGGCTCATGATATTCAGTCCAAAATCTGCAAATAAATGACACCTACACATGAGAATTTCCTGTAAGTGACAAAAATGGGGGGAAAAAAATCTAGTACTAGCTTCCTACTTCAGTACTGAAAAGTAATAGCAATCAGTCACTGATTCTTTAACTTTATAGAAACTCCTAAAATTTCCTCCTTTGATCAGCTGACATTCCTGAAGTTCAAGAGATTTTTGCTGCCCTTCATTTCCAGCTGTTCTCACTCAGACCCATTGTGCCACTGATAGAGGGAAACTACTTTAAATGTTTTAATTGTTTTGACATCATAATGTCACCCAGGGCAGCATCATTAATATGAACCCATTAAGTCAAAAGCTAAGAAAAATACAAACCTATTACACAAGAAAAAAAATAAACAGATCAAGATAATCACTTTGATCAGGCCTTGGTTTGTGTGAAGTTTCACCAGTGAATCCTATTTGCCCATGTTTATTTAGAGAATTTATCAGGAGATTATCAGTACAATTGATACTGAGAAAAAACTTACATTTCAAACTGCTGCTGGATGGATCTTCTGCATCAGCTCCTTCAGAAAATAATTCATCTAATGACTTTATTTCACTTCTGTCACTTTCAAGGGATTCTTGGATGTGCTTGGTGTAGCCTGCTTTAGGCAGAGCACGCTTTCCAGTGTTGTCCTTTGTGGAAGATGACAGCAGTTGAGATCTCCTGGTATGTCCTGACAGGTTTCTGCTGGTGGGTGAAGGTGCTGGTGAATTAACTCTACCAAACACACTTTTCTCTGAGTCTTTGTTGTGAGAGGAAGATGCTTTAGATAACTCTGCTGATGAAACTTCCTTATGAGGTGGAGGAGCCTTTCCTGATGGAACTGGAGTCTTACTCTTTTTGAAGAACATGAAAAAGAGATTTATGTGTTACTTCATTGTTATGTGTAGGTTGCTAAAGGGAGAACAAATCATTGTGGGTAAAACAGAGGAATTTTAAAATGTTAAGATGTGAACCTGAATCCTATCAGGAGCAAGACACAAATGCAAATTTAGGATTAAGTTGCTAGTGTTATCTAAACAAAAAGCAACCAATTAAGACAGTTATATGAAAGCATTAATAAAAATACATAATCCAGCAAAGTTTGTATTTACCTTTCTACCTTACTGAGCATCACTTACCTGAACCTTCTGATTCCCACTTCCACTGGAAAACCCCAAAGAACTCTCCATCAATTCTCTCATTTCCTCTTCATCACTATCCAGATCAAGCTCTTGTTTAACCATAACACTCCTTTTCGGGCTTTGCATGCTTTCCTCTTCCCCAGAACAGGCATCTCTGTGGGTCCCAATCCCACTGGTGGCACCATAATTCTTCCAGAACCTCCTGCCCCTGGCGCCACCTTCATGCCCAGAGGCGGATGAGCTGCACTCCTCATCCAAAGGCTTCAGGCCCGAGTCAGTGTTCTGCAGTTCCAGGTGCTTTTTTTGACCCATGATTTTGCTTTCTAGCTGTGCCACTTTGTTCAGGACGGAGTTTAGCCGCGTGTGGGCGGCGCTGCCGCTCCAGGCCCGCCCGGCGCTCCCCGGCCCCGGGCAGCGCTGCGTCCCAGCAGCGTTTCCATCGCACACCTTCAGGAACCTGCCCTGGTGCGACGGAGTAATTCCAGCGCTGCCCAGCTCTGTGTCCACCAGCGTTAGGTCACCACGGGTGCTGCTCCTGCGGGGTACACGGCTGTGGCCCTGCCAAGAATCACAGAGTTACCGACCTTAGGAAGGACCTGACAACATCGAGTCCAACTTGCGACTGATCCTGACCCCCACGTTGTTAACCAGACCAAAGCACTGAGTGCCACATGCAGACTTTCCTTAAACATCTCCAGGGATGGTGACTCCACGGGCAGCCCCTTCTAA